CCTTATAGTCCACCATAAAACCAGACGATGTGCTTACCTTGATTAACCAAGATCCATTGCTCTATTTATGATTATAATTTCAGTGTTAGGCAAAGTTATTGTGAAGAGAATAGATCTATCAAGTTCTTAATGTGTTACCACAACTCGACATAATTCTTTTGTTAAGCTCTAAAATCAATAGTAATGGCCAAATAAAATATATAAATTTATTTTTTCATTACCTACGGCTTCATATTCTAATGGGCTTGCCCATCACTATTTATAATTCGGCTTTTTTGTTTCCCCCCTACTGAATGCCTCTTCGTCTGACATTTATTAAAGCACTGAAGGGAATGTCTGAGTGGCAAAATTGCTTTCGTGCTCTGTCGCCAGCTTGGTGTCATGACCATCTCTACCAATCACACGGCAGAATAATCACACGGATAGGCCCACAAACAAGTGTACAGACCGATACACACAGACATAGGCATGCGCATACGTACAAATCACTATCTTATCCCTCTTGTATCTCCTCATTCCTTTCTCCTATCAAGTGGAAACTGTATCGCCTGTGCACAAGCACCACTTGAGGCTAAGGCAAGGCACTACTGGGACCTCTTGTATTCGGGGACTCTAGTTCGGCTACGTGTCCGATTGCGTGTCCCGCCTCGTGATTTCAGGTTAATTGCTCTTCCTCTCGTCTGGCTCTCTCAGACGGGCCCTCACCGTTAGCTGCCCTCCTCTTTCCTCTCTGAGATTGTCTCCCTTCTTTCTCTGTTTTTTTTAATCCTCTCTTCTTTTGTTCTTTAAAACACACTGACGCCCAAATCGTCTTATATTCTAGGCCCAATTTGGCCTGCACAACTTCGATCACACCCTAGATGTATGCGTTTGATCTCTCTCTACCTCAGACACCTACAAAAGCAAAGAAGCATTCACCACCTCCAAGTTGTGCTCCTGCTATTCGTGGCAAGGAGGTATGGCGCATGACAAACTAATCTTGCATCATTTCGTATACATTTGAGGACACATTTCCTAACGCAAACATAATGTTTGAGTTGTTTGTTCAGCTCTGCAAGCATACATTGTACATGGACTCATGTTTCTAGTTGCTGACTTATTTAATCCGATGATCTCATCCCTCCTCGAGGACATCCTCTCGCGATTGCTCCTATAATGGGGGCATCAACTCTATTATCAGTGTTAATAGACAAGTCATCCCAAACATGTGGATACTAGCCGGGACGCCCACTTTAGTCTTGTCCCTCACGCCTTTGACGAGGAAGTCTAGTGGTGGCGGTGGTACATTTAGGACAATTAGTCTGGCCTTGCATGAGGCTCGGCGGTGCTTTTAAGTCTGAGTCAGTGGGTTGTTGGAGGACTGGCTACTGACACATACCTTGCTACGTTTCTTCTTTTTGTGTGATTATCGATTTCGACCTGAAATCATATGATGGCTGCCAGGCGTCTTGCTTGTCCGTGCCAGCTCGCCCCTTTGTGGCTCTTGTGAATTTCATCAGCCTCCGTTTCACCACTTGTCGTCAGGACAAACTCTGCTCTAGACTACGATACTCCACTCTACTCCGTTCACATTGAACCCCTATACACCACCTATATACAGTTCCATATCCCTTCTCCACACCCGTTACAAACGTCAGCCCATCTGTGTTTCTGAAATTAGTCACTTTCGCCCAATTATTTGGCGCCTGCGTCATTTGGCCAAGTGACGGGATGAAGCTGTGCGTCGTAGTCGCTAGCCCTCATGAACTCTCGACCTAGCAACCTGCCTACGTTCTCTTTGTCTACACACTTGAAACTCACCCCATCCCACGACTTTCCGCCTCGCCGCCCTCCACATGGGGCGCCGTTTAGTATCCACTTCATCTCACTCTCTTCCACGTGGTTTACCTGTGTTGCTATAATTTATTTGTAGTTTCCAGGTCCTCGGAAATCTTTTGCTGCCTAATGGCATGTCCGTCAGACAGCACACTTAACAGCGAATTTTCCCCTGTTTCACCCTCTCCGTACGTTTATTTATATCTATCCACAACTCTTTGTTGAGGTTGAAATGGATGTTCATCTTTTTCAAAACAAACATATTTCATAAGAGTCCTTTGTTTATAAACGTGAAGATTTAATTCTCTCTTAAACTAGACCTTTTGACATTTTTAATCACTGGTAAAAGAAAATGAAGGCTTCGCCACTAGTTTCGACTTGTAAAATCTCTGACCACCTCGCAATTGCGATGTCATTCATGTCAAGACGTCTCTGCAACTTTTGAGTAAATACGCAGTCACCATGACGATGCAACACTTTTGGCAGCATTTCAGGCGAATCTCACTACTCATATCATGGCTGAATCTATCAATTTGACTTTACTTACCCTTCTTACTCTTCAGCCAAACGCCCCACGTTTTATGCATCTAAATCAAATTGTCCAACTACACTTAATTGATATATACGCATTAATCGTATTATTGAGATTCCACGAGTTTATATTTGTGATTTGAGTGGTAGAACCTGGAAGGTCCTTGTATTCAAAGGACAATGTCCACTCCTGACTTTGAAAGCACCTTGATTTGGGTTATTCTGCTTCCCTGAGTGTGGATGTGTTTTCGCTTAAACATTTACACCCTGATCCTTTGATCAAAGCATGCATCTCAATGATCACGTAAAGACGATCATACTTAGCAGGCGATATTTTAGTGACTAACTCTTCATCTAGTCAACTTTCTTTGATCGCTTCTTTTAATTTTATCTCTGCATTCACCTGTATCTGAGTCAGATCGTGAGTATGCTTTGTACCAAGCTATCCTGGTCTATACAGCGTTCTTAGAACTTACTTCGTCAACGGATCAGCCGCTGTTCAAGCATTGTATCAAAGCCTTCTATTCTCTCGAAGTGCCCATGGCTCATTCATAACTATTGTCTACACAATTCATGAATAAATTGTTCAAATCTCTCGGCTGACTCTATCTTTAGTTCACTTTTGTAGTGAGAGTATGCTACAAAAATATTTAGTTGTTTACAGGTTAACTTCTTGCCTCGCAGATTATTGTCCATCAATGATAAACATGTTTGAATCTGTATGTAGTTTGGAGTCCTGCTTGTAATTGTCTTGTCCGAAGCTAGTTCAGATAGTGAGTTTTTCATGTGACCCTAATAATGCACTCTCCCTCATATGCAGATTAGCATTAAGGCAGTAAGCATATCATAGCAATTAACCTGCAAACTTGGTTAATAGTGGTGTCATAGTGCTAAAGTGGCCAGACGAACAACATTAATCAAGTCCAAGTATTTCATTCATTGTTCTCCCTTCACGTCCTAAATATGTATTTATCTATATGCATTTCAGGTTAATACATTTCGGGTTTATCCCGACTTATCTATTTTAGTTAATGTTCCGCTTAGGTTTGATATTTTGGCTCTATTAAGGGAGGCAGGAACTGGGTCTCAAATGTGCGTTTCATGTTTTTAAATTCACTTGGCTCTCTTAAGCATGGGAAAGGAGTAACTTATCTAAACTGTGGGTAAAGCTATATTAGTCTATCCAAACAATAGTCATCTGTTTGTCTAGGAGCGATAGTTGATCTTCTTCAGATAAAGTGAAAATGAGGCTTGTTTTAGCAATAAATTTTATCCTATTGTATAGCGGTGCATATAGTGCGGTTTTGTACCCAACGCCCTTTTTGAAATTCGAATTGGCTTCATTGTCTCGACAAACTACACGATTTGCTCAAGGAATATGGATGTTGCTTTCATCATAAACATTAGCATTTTCATTATCCTTCTCACAGAGTTGGTCTATGCATTAGGCCCATAACTGTTCCAAAGCTATGTTTTATTGGGTCTCCTTATTCATGATCACAGTCCAGATCGTTCATTCGATTACCTTTCATACATAGCAAAAACTAATGCAATTGCACTTTCACATACTACAAGTCGGAGTTATAACATTGGCTGGAGATTCCCGGACCTCAACCACTTAATGCAAACAAAAACAATCTTTAGCAGCTCGGGTCCAAATTGTGGCGGCCATTTTACCCTATTAGACTCGTATCAACTCAGCCTTGATGGGCGAACAAGAGCATTTGAGATTATCTTTTTAGTATGACTCGTGCTATAGCATGAGCTTTTATTCCAGATTTCTCGACCCTTACATGCATAACAAGCTGCATGTAGCCACACAGGAGCGCTAGAAACGGAGTCATTAATGTAGTTGCTTAGATAACCACTTGATTGTTATCGTATGACTAGTATCAGGGCTCCGGTAGTGTCACATAAAGTGGCCTGTAGAATGGGAAAATACTCCTTTACGCCAGTCATATGAAGGCGCATGAACTTTTTTCGGATAGTTTTGATCCAGAATAAGAGCTCACCTCACTTAAGGTGGTATAAAGCCTGGGTTGCATCAGCAACCAGGCCGAGGCATGGCCGCATCGAGCTTTCGCCCAGCTCCGATTTGAGTCCAGTTAAGCAAGAGAGTAGGATCAGGGGGTACCAAGCCAAGATTACAGTTTCAAGGAGCAAGGCCCTTCACTTCGTCGTCTCCTGGCGACACGGTGTATTCCAAACTGCGCTAAGTTTGGCTTTATCTGAACTCTTCATTAATGGATGATTCTATAAGTTCCAGCTTACAATGCACTTTTGCCTATAGCTCTTTGCAGCACCGTCCAAGAATCGCGATTCGCCTAAACAATCAAGCCCTTGTCCGGTTAAGTTGAGATCGGATCAACTCGCTCACACTTGGTCTACCAGCCCGGCGGTCTTCAAGTCCTACGATCGTGATACAATGAAGGCTAAAGCCAATCTCGTAGATTCACTCGTATTCGAGGAAGCTTTGGTCACTCTTGCATTAAACTGGTCACCGGCCCCATTTAACGTCTGATGTCTTGCCCACTGTCAAGAGTATGAACTGTGGGAAACTCTTAATTCGCGTATCTTGTATCAGCAACCCCAGTCTCACCTTGCATGACATGCTTGTACTCGATCGCGATCCAACCAGAGTAGCATTTGGTCATTGGTGCAGATCTTACAAACAAGTATTCTTATTCCATCTGCAAGTCACACATCTGGCTAACTACTTTCCCATCCACAAATCCCTTTGCACGCATGCGTGTACAAACATTCATGCGCACACATCAAACACATTTACGCACGCTTCAGGTTATACCACCAACTCCGTTGTGCAACCTCCCCATTTTCTCAGGACTATCTATTAAGTGTGGCCGCCCTTGGGTTGTGCAGTCTGCTGGAGGCATCTGTTTTTAATCCACCTATCACAACTTGAACCCATTGCCATACGACCCTACCAATCAAGAATCCACATGAAATAGGTATCTCAACATTCACTTTTTTTCGTCATTACAGCAGCATTCGGCCTCAACAACAGCTCTTTTATTCCTTTCTTTCATTTGTCAATGATTTTTCATTAAATCCTGGGTCTACCGTTTGGAGGCTAGTGTCTGAATGATTTGCTCCTGTCCTATTTCTGACAGTGTCAATTAAAGTCAAGCCCCTATTACATCGCCCTCATACATATGCACTCCTGCCTTGCATGTTTCCGTCAGAGTATGTCAACCTAATGACGTCCTCAGCCATTCGTCCTTTTTGAGTTCATCATCCCCAGAGAGGTCAGACGTCTGGCTACACCTCAACGGTTGGCAATAGTGTGTTCTCTTTCGAAGTCGACAGAGCTGAGCATTCTACATATCCACAGATTGGCTTTCGGAGGTGCAGTCTTTGTACGATTCACACAACCTTTGCCGGCATGTTGCTTCCTTTTATTTGGCTGCGCCGAGGTGACAACTGCTTTGCACGTTTGGTACCATTGTCATTCACGTCATAAACCCAAACGGCCTTCTCAATACAAGCCCGAATACAGCTCGAATAATAACATATAAGGTGACCTAACCATCGTTTATTAACATCATGAAACAAGACTTAAACTAAAACAATATATATCTCAAATTCCTGTATGCTAGTTTTCCATATCCTCTGCAGTGCTGGCGCATCAGTACACTCAGGTCATCAAATCATCTATTCTATGTACCTCTGTCGACTTGTATGTTCATTGACCTGTTCATCTGTCAACAGGTCTACATCAGCGACCACAGCCGTTCCTTTTCCCCTTTTTCGAGCCTGTTTAGACGACATCTCTCCCGATATCGCTCTCGTCGTGTTGGTATGCTGGGCCTGTGTCTTATGTGGGA